CCTAATTTTTTCCTAGTATGTTACTACAATATAAGTATCATAAAACCGGCGAGTCCTTCGCTGATAATATGGCGGATCAATAAAAGTTTAAAACATAATATCCATTATTTTTTACCACCTCTCTACCTACCAACAACATTTCCAACTTCTACCTCTGCTCTAACTCCTTTTGATAAAACGTAAAACTTAATTTGACACCAAATAACCATTCATTAAATCGGCATTAACTCTAATATTAAACAATTCAATTATAGGGACCTGTATATAATGGAGGCCGCCATTTCCGGTATCCGCCAAAAGGCGGGAAATGCGATAGCCGTTCGGTAAAAGTTTATCTCAGTTGGCTCCTGCTGCGCTGTATATTCTACCGACGTAAAAGATGTAAAACGCAAGAGGTAAAAGGTAAAGTTAGCGCAGGAACTGTCAACCGTATGCATATAATGAAGTGCGGCGCACTGTGGACCTTGAGCTATCAAAAACGGACGAAATTTTGGATAAAAAAAAGTCTGATTGAATTAGGCGTACAAATGGTTGCCTGATGAATTTCCAATATGTCAAAACTAACTATCTAATATGTGGGGAACATGATGTCGCCACATATAACCTCTCCGCTCAAAAATATTATTAAACCCACATAAAAAATTTAAAAAAATGCAAAACTAACCGTAAGTTATTGGGTTTAATACAAAAGAAACCTTTTTAACTGGTTTCTGAACAACGCTATGAACAATATCTTGTTCAGATAATAAAAAGGCTGGCTTCAACCTATCTATGTTGATTAATGATTCTTTATCATTAATTAAAATTTTAAAAACTTTTCTACTAATCACCCTATATGGTCCATATGTATGAATTGTATTGCCAGAAGCTGAAGAAAGAATAAAATCTTTAGCCAAAGTTATGTGGGTACCACAGGTACCTATTTAGAAATAAATGGGACACAATAAGAAAACTTTTTATTATTGGAAGCTTTTAATAAAGACCTAAAGATCTAATTAAATTTTTTTCTTCTTATATCTAAATGAAATGGTTTTTTGCTTCTCATGTAAAATTATTACGTATGGAGGAAGAAGGTTTACATCACAAAGCACATAGAGGTTCCACGTGAATGACCAAGGTCAAAACCGACAATTGACATTTTTTATGCTATTTGCTCCAAACTCTAGATGGGGCTACTGGTAAAATTCTGATTTCTTACTCCATTTTTAAGCTTTATGGGAGAAAAACTTAACCAAAGACTCCAAAGATGTGACGTGTATTTATTTATGTTTTTGGTTAATCTCATTTTTCCGTCTGATTTTAGTGATTTTTTGTTGGCTTTGGCTTTTGGTTTCTGTTTATAGTTTCGTCTTAGTTATAACCTACTGTGTTTTGCAATAATTTTGGTGCTACCTGTGGGTGCTACGTTGAAAACTTCGAGAAAAACTTCATTGATTCACCATGCATCTGCATCATAAAAAGAAACGGGTATAACAACTAATTGATAATCAATTTATCACTGGACTAGATTCCGAAATCATTTTTCACATAAGAGAGTAATACACAAAGCAGTGGAGTAATACCACCATCTGTATTTGGAAGGAAAATACCTATTTATCATTGAATGAATAGTTAAAAGGATTCACCTTTTAATACAATACCTATATTACATTTGTCCTCGGTTTAAAAGACATTTATAAAATATATTATTTTAGTGTTAATAAAATGTAATATCCTAGTCTCTACTTCACATTTAAATTATTGATAGGTATTTTAAAGATTTGAGATTATATACCTATTTGCTGCAAGTAAGTATTCGTTAAATATGTATTATTATTTGTATTTATTTTTATCTAATAATATTATTTAAGTTATTAATAAACATATTTTAAGAATGTTCTATTTTATTGTTTATTGATATATCTTATATTTATTTAATAATAATATGCAGAACCAACTCTTCACATCAGACCCCTGCTTATAACAAATTAATTCCTCAAATTTGGTATAATCGACCTAAATTATTTTGTAAAATAAAAGTTTCGAACTTACTAGTTCCATTCTTTATTTTATAAAATAATTTACGTGGAAATCATTTAAAATTTAATTTAAAACTACTACCTACTCCTAAAAATTACAATTTGAATTTACCGCCATCTGTCAATTGTCATTTTAGTTCCAGCTCCAAACACAAGGTGGCGCCAATTTGGTTTAAAAGTTTAACATTGGCGTGGGGTCTCTAGAAGATACGTGCTTTGTGGTTTACATGTTATAGTAACGATATTTTAGTTATTTCAGTATTCATATGTATCAAAACTATTAGGGTTTTTAAGAGATATAGTTAGGTATAGATTTTATGAAGATCATCTATAAATTTATTGATATCTGTAGGCCAAATTATATTGTAGAGATTTAATTATATTAAATAAGATTGCTATGCAGATTGTTTTAGTTGTATTTTAACATTCCACTCTTGGTTTTAAATATCTTTATTCAACTAGTCGTCATCTGTCAATTGTCACAAGTCACCAAAGTGACATAAACATAAAATAGAAGAGACACTAAACTCTATAGCTATACAGCCATTACACAGATACGAACCATTTCAGTAAGACGATATTTATTTAACAAGTAGTAGACTCAATATTTTTTTGTCCAGTTTTTTAAATTACTGCACCACTTCGTTGTGTGCTCTGGTATCTCTTTTTCTTCTTATTTTGTCCCGCAAAGTTGCTCCACTAACTTAGCATGTAGATACATATACCTAAAACCAGTTTTCTGTTCTCTGCGAGACTCTGACTCTGATCGTCATACTTCGGTAATATCCGCTCAGGTATTCAGTATATTCTGACGGAATGTCGTGCATCTCGTGCCAGAAGATTATATAGATGGAACGGAATGTTATATTTTCAATAAAATGTTGAAAATTGTTGCCGCAAACTCCACGGCGTGTGCCTGTATCTTTTTAAAATTTAATAGTATGTGTTGTCTGTAAACTTTGTTAACCAACGTATCTTTCGAAAGGCTGTGCTAAACCTTTTTGGAAAAAGCACCTAGAACTCAAGTTAGCCTTTTGACGAGATGGATTAGTCCTTATTGCCCATTAGTTTTATTCAAAATTAAAAATAAGTACAGTCAAAAGTTTCAACAAGCTACTCTTTGGCTCTAATCTAAGGTATAGATATAGAAAAGCCAGAAAATTTGGGTAAAAGTAGAATCACTTCAACATTTTTTTATTTATGTACCATCTTAAATAACTTAAAACTATAGATAGTCAGTTTAATATTTTTTGACTGAACAATTCTTGTTGAATGCTATATTACTTCATTTATTTCTTTTAATATATTTGTATCATTATAAAAAACAAATTAAAATAATGGCATACATTATACAATTTTGCTTCATTAAAAAATTACTGCAATAAACTCATAAATAAAATATAATGCTGTCTGGAATCAAAATGTAACAAGTAAGTTCATTAAGAATTCAAATAAACGATCTAATATTGATCTTTACAAACCATTTCAAAAGACTTTGTTGTATGATTCAACCCTCCCACATAAACAAAGTCAATAAAATCGAATAAAGTTCTACCTACTTTAAAATATTATGCAGGCGCTATTACAGTCATAAAAATGCATTTTATTTTCCATAAAATGCGGTGTTTTATGAGCTTTTGATGGCGCCCATAGTGCAGCAGACGTAAATATACATATTTAAATTAAGATATGGATAGTTTTAAATTTTATGATAAGAAGCTTATTAAAAATCTACTACCGATTTGAAATTGAATTAAGTTAATGAGGAGAGTAGGAAAACTAACTTTAGATAATTTCTAACGAGATAAATTTTAACTGAAGTGTTTATTCTGATATACAGGGACATATAAAGCCAAAAAAACTACGTATTATGTAAATTCGGACCAAGAAATGGAAAATATTTTACCAATAGTTTCAGGACATATATTATATCCTACACCAAAAGAAATGCCTTGTCAAATAAAGGAAAACATAAATATAAAGATATCCCCACAGGGTTCGCTTGATCATTCGAGACGACTTACAACAACTTCCACAGAAAGGCATAAATGTTGCATTCCGCCTGAAAAGTTGTGGAGGTAAGATACCTAAACCAGGCAAAATAACCAAGAAACTTCTTTGTTAAGATTTAAATCATTAATAGAAGATAATGAATGAATCGCATAGAAAAGACACTAGAAAAAGGAAACTTATGTTCTACAATCTTTCTAGTACATGCTTGTAACAAAGATTCCTATATATCAAAAACAGTCTTCATAATAAAGCAAGAAGAAGCATATTCCGAGTTAAGATAAATCAGGACCAGTCCTTTATCTACATAGTACACAATATAGACTAGAGACATCCCAAACCTCATGAAGAAGATCCATCCAAACTACAAAACTGTTGTTCAGATCAACATCTGGACTAGAAGATGATTATCCAGCTTGAGTTGAATAAAATCAGTTCATATAAGCTTTAATTAGACTAAATAATGTTCAGTAAAGTATTACTTTAGATGCCAGATGCAAAAATACCATGGAAGTCTAATATATTGGATACTGGAATGTAAATCCACCCTATCTATATACAATAAATTGTACAATTAAAGACACTTTGAACCGACGGTATTCAGCCTTGGGCCTGAATTAGAAAGAACAATATCCAGACCATACGTTTCCAAAAGAAAGTATTAAAAAACCCCATGGGTACTTTTGAAATAGTGATCTTCACCTGTACCTAGAGATGGACGCTATTAAACAGAGTTTGCCAAGAGTAATTAACAATAATCTTAGACCACGTGAACGTTGAGGCCATCTAAATCCTCGACAATACCAACCAGACAATAAAACTCAAGAGAGAGAAGCCCTATGAATTAGTTAACTAAGTGCAGTCTTTACACGATAGTGTTTGTTTGCATTAGACTGAAAATAGTAAAGTAGGATTCAAATTGCTTTATAGTAAAATTCTCTACTAGGATATTTTATATATAAAAAAACTAACCTGTGATCCCTCAAATGATCCTGTCGTCTGAAAGCTTTTCCACAAATGTCACAAGAATACGGCCTCTCGTCGGTATGAGTACGTTCGTGAATCAACAAATTGTAGCTTTTGGTGAACTGTCTGTTACAATATTTACAAATAAACTGTTTTTTCGGCCTTGAAGCTCGTCCCGGAGCTCTCAACAACCTTCTGTCCAGATGCGCGTGCATTTGCGGCGGGCCCGGAGGAAACAACGGTCCGCCACCGGGGAAACTAAACGAACCGGGTCCCGCGGGAGACGTAGGCAAGAATCCGGAGTAGGAATGACCTTGAGCGGTACCAGACGCCTCTAATAATCCGGCAGGCGGTCTGGGTCGGTGAGGAAGCATTAAAGCTGCGTGTGCGGCAGCAACGCACACTGCTTCTTCGCGAAACTGAAGCTCTTTACGTTTATCCGCCATGATGGCCATTAGATCGAACCCGGAAGATGAAGGTTTCCTCGCAAACCCCGATCCCGAACCACTTTCCCCAGTTTTTCCGCTTTCTGATCTTTCTCGAGATTCGCGGATAAGTTCTGAACCGAGTAAGGGGTGCATTTCACCGGTATACATCATTTGGTGCATATTTCTGGACGGTACCACTGGTACGAAGGCTGAGCTTTCCCTGTGGTGGCTCATGGTGCTTTGAAGGGGTACCTGCTGGTAGCCGAGTTGGCCTTCAAAACGGCTGGCTGAAGAGGAACGATTGCTGCTACCGGAGTTTGAGAGGGCAAAATCGTGTCGTGATAAAGATAGAGGACGGTCCTCCACCGATGAGCTTGTTGCTGTTTCAGGCATCTTAAACTGTAATAAAAATAAAACATTATTGAAAATTTATTTCTACTTGCTTGATTTATCTCAGGGATACATTTTTATATCAAGAGTTTTATGGTCCTGCCTCGTATTAACTCTTTCTTTATAACAGTGTAATAATTGGCATTATCATTAGTAAAATATAAAGAATCACACAAAAATGTAGTAGAGGTAGATATCTTTAAATTATTTTAACATGTTTGGGTTTTATTTTGAGACAATTAATTCATTGATTTCCATATAAATGCAATTTTTTTTTCGTCTTCAAGTTTTATCTGACTTATTTATTTATTTATTTCAATATTTATTCCTTAAATATGCATTGATTATTTATTCTGTAATTATTTTAAATATTTATTCGCTTTTATTAGTAATTTTTCCTCCTCTTTCCAAAACCATATTCCAAGCAGTTGTGAAGCCTTTGCGTTTCTACCCCTAAGGACTAGAAAAGTTTATAGTTAATTGCCAAAGCTGCTTGACTATGCTATTAAGGGATTATTTTGTTTTTTTAGTTTTATATCCCTACAATTATAATTTGTTCAATAGGTGTTTGTCATCAAAATAGGCTTACTATGATTATTCTTCCAGTAAAGCATTGTAAATTCCTATTAAAACTTACAATGCTAGCAGGAATCAAAATTATCAAATGCGGTTGCATTCTATTTTTAGTTTGATGAATAATGTTATAAAATATTTTCAATTTCTTAGTTCTTTAATAAACTAATATAACTATGTAACTTCTTAGAATTCGTAACAAACTCTCTCTCTCTCTATATATTTAATACAGACACCTCTTATCAAACAGATCTTGACTGCTTCAGAATTCAAGTAACAGCGCCATTACTCATACTTACCTTAAGTGATTTTTTTTTTTATTCAGAGTAGGTACGCTTTGTACGAGATATTTTTATCGTACAATCACACGACATGACCACAAAGTTTTAATTTTATAAATCATGCATATCATGAGCTGCGGTTTCTCGAAAATAATTCGGCGAATCGTAATCAGCACATTAGTTGGTCAGTTTATAGACCAGTAATCGAAAACTACTTATAGATGATTCCAAAATGGCTTTTTTTAATGAACTAAAAGCGTAAAACTAAGAAATCAATCATTACAGACTCTCGGGTATCTACTAACTGATTTTAATAATAATATAATAATACTCTCCCTAATTCACCCCCTTACGAGTGAATTTCAACCCCTGAAGTTGACTGAACGACTTGTGTAGGGGAAGGGACGGCTATTATTGTTATTATTTGCCGTGGCGCTCCGGGGCGACTTAAAGATGATTGATTATGCCATTTGACTTACAGGTGAAGAAAACCCGGAAAACCTCACTCACCATCTTTATATCTTTGTAGTTAGTTTCTTAATTAAAAGATTAATTTTTTAGTTCTTGTATCTCTCTTTTTAGTTGTTAAGAGAGTCTACTGTTTTTAAAACAATTATTATAAAGGATATTGTTCATTTTAAAAGTAAATTCGTCCTTTGGAGTAAAATATTTGTAGTCGATACCATTTTTTTAAAATTGCTCTTAAGTCATACCTTACAGGGTGACCTAAAAACTAGGTTCAGCGTTAATTCTAAAGTTAAAGTATTACAATTTATTTAAAATCGTTATATTCATAGCAGGGTGTACTTAAAAAGTAAGAATAAGACGTAGAGATGAAAGTTTTATTTTGTGGTCAATATGATTGATTATAAACATTCCGCGTACGCCCATGTCTCCCAAAAAGGTAGGTACGTCACTTTCACGGTTGACGATCTCTCAACTTGTCCTTTTAAAGAAGAAATATGTCCAAAATAAACAAAGTTTACAAAACCATTGTCAGTTGATTCTAGCCTTTTCACATAAGTGGTTATTTGTAGAAAAATTTAATGGGTTAATAATTCCCCATGATATTTTTTAGTTAGCGAAATCATAAAAGATACCTGAATATCTAAAAAAACAAAGTGTGTAGTAATTATATATAATTGATAGCTTATTCGCAGTTTTAAGTATTGTATTGCATTTTCTAATCCCTGGATTTTATCTGATGCCACATGTATTTTATAGGTTTCAACTTTTATAGTTTTATATTCATACCAAAAGTACAATTTATTTATTATACCAAGCCTTAATATGTAAATCAATATTACCATTTTTTTTTTTATTTTTGAATGTCTCTTGGAAAGATGGGTTTCTCCACAGCACTTAGGCCTCATTGAAAGAGGAAACATCAATCCAATAACCTTAGCTTTTTTGCGATAATTCCTTCATAAAATCTATTGGTTTAAATCGTCTTTTTTATCAAAAATACTAACTTTCGAGTTAAATAATCTATTTTAAACGAATTATGTATGTACTTCTAACAATTTTTTATTAAATCCGATTGTCCGGGCTATTATCTTCTTTAACAACAATAGTTTTGGAATTTCCAATGCACCATAAAAAATCGGAGCACGTAATAATTTTCTGAGAAGCAAAAATAATGGGAAACGTTCTTATTCAAATGAAGTAAAAAAAATGGATGGATCGGTAGCGGTCCAAGATCACAGGTATGCTAATTTTTTAGCAATAATCGACATATTAACAAGATATATGTGTAGTTTCGTATTTGAAACAAGAAACCGTTGTGTCGCTTTACAAAATTATGTAAATTTCGACAACAATGGATTATAAATTTAAAACGAGAAAAATTTATGTCCTGTTTTGATACTGACAATGTTTTTACCTATTTCATTTCCAAGCGAAATAATAGAACTATAGAAGTGGATAATAATATATGATAGTTTCGTCTACATTAAAAATTAATCCTCATCATGAATTATAAAAGCACTACCTACTTAAAAATCGAAACTGTTGAAAGCACTCTCAAAATGCAACAAAAATATTAATGATCCATCAAGTTGAAGCTTGGCTTAGTGTTTATTCATGTTGCCCTTTTAAGATAATGATTATTCATCCGATAGTCAGAGATAATTGGTTCTATTTCGTAAAGATAATACAACAAAATTCGAGATTATTATTGAATCAATCATGATATAACTGTACATAGTAAAGTAGTACAAATATTGTGCTTCATTTTTTATTTATAATTGATTATATATTATGTATATAGTATTAATACAAATATATATATTACATTCTCAAGAAAATGTAGGATTTGGAGTGTCTTCAGAAAACTATTATAAAAATAGTAGGAAAAGAATGCTTTCTGAAGTTATAAAATATTACGCTAAAAGAAGGGAAAGCATATTAGGAAATACTAATGGATGTAGAAAAATAGAGTGACAAGTTATATGTCATACACAATACATAGGCCTTTTCATCACAATTTTTTTTTGTGCGCGTGCGTCAGTATCAGCCGTATTTTTCGCACTGTTTTTTGTAAACAAGCATGTTAAAATTTAAAATGTCTACGTGAAAAAAATTAAACTCGATAAATATTAATTTAAGCATATTCATTTAAAAAAAAAAGAAAAAAGTAAAGTAATAAGTTTATAAGTTTCTAAATTGAAAAATAAATGGTTACAATTAATTATGTTATCTGTACGGAAAGGAAAAACGAAACGGTATTGTTATGCAGTATGTAAAAGTGACACACGGTATAAAATCATTTAAAGGTACCTAATACATTATTATTTTGTAAATTTTCCAAAGACTTGTCTGCAATATCATAAAAAAACTATCAAATCATTAGGCAAAATACATATTAAAACATGATCAAAATGAGCAATATATGGGTGAAAAAATTTAGTCGAAGTGACAAAGGTTTTCGATCGATTGATGATGTTACTAAAGATACTTATATTTATTCACTACATTTTCATGGAGAAAGTGGTATAACAGAAGAAAATCCTTATCTGGTCATACACAATATTTTTTTAATAAAAAATACTACTTCGGTACACAGTAATATTATTAGAAATGTTATGTTGATCCCTAAAATATTAAATAATTTATCTTATTAGGTAATTATACTCGTGATTAATTTTTATCTTAATGTGTTTTTGCATTTACTAATAGTTGGTTGGCATAATTAATTAGAATAGAGTTATAATTATTATTAGTTTTTATTAATTTTTTACACAGTAAACAAGTATTGAAACCTAACCTCTCATTTAGCAAGATTTTTTTTCTTGTTCCGAACGTCTACGACACTATAAGAACCTTTTCAACTGCTCACAACTATGTGCTTCCACAGAGTTATAAAAATGTAAATCACCATCAACGATTTTTTCTAATAATTGATTTGAATGTAGAGATAATATTGCTTCTCTAGCCATTGTTGGTCAAAACAGTACGAAAGATTTGAATTGGCGCTATGTTAACATGGCGGCTGCGCTTGCGCTCATCACATGATGAAAAGGTCTATTAAAGCAGTACTAAATTAGACTTAATAATAATAACTATAATAATAATAAAAAAAACCATTTCAAGAGTTTTACCCATCCAACAAATAATACTTAACCTTGCTTTTGAAAGTAAGTATTGATGTTAAGTCATAAATAGTCGACCGTTTGGAAAATATTTTTTTTTTCGGAAGAGACCGAAGAGACTTGGAGTATTTTCGGAAAAAAATTGTAAATTTTGGACCACAAAATTTTTTATTACTTGATAAAAAAATTTGAAAAAATTCAACATAGGGTATTTTGACCTGGAAAAGACGAAAATGATCATAAAAAACGGATAGGGCTCATGTGGAACAAGATATGGGGCCGAAAGTGCGTTTTCGAGCGATTTTAGGGCCCTACGGGAAAACTGAGAAGCCCTAGAAATATTTTGAGGTAATTTTCGGCTTTTCCAGACCCAAATACCCAATACAATGTATTTTGAGTTAAAATAAAAAAATTAGCATCAGCACGTGCTCAAAAAGTTTTAGCGATAATGCTTTACCACTTTGTCCGTTTTATTTGATTCTTTTTTTGTTAGTAAGGGGGTACCTCAGGGGTGGTCCCATATAAATTTGGTTAAGATGTGGTGATGGCATCTGCACGTTTTTGAAGTCGGTTTTTTTAAATTTTTAATTTCTAATACTTGTGTATACTTATATTAAATAATATACTATGTTTGTTTTGAGAAAAAATATTTCCTTTAGTTTACAGAGGTTTCAATTTAAGAGTTAGTGCTCTTATACAGTTAAGAGTTACGAAGTCAAGTTTAAGGTAATATAGAGTACTTACGTTATTTAGACCTAGAGTGTTATATTTCGTTATTTGACCCTCGGGACACAGATATTTCCTTAATTATTTCACAAATCAGTTTGATGAATAAAGAATAACATTGAGAAAAATATAGAATTGCAAACCTTTAATTCCATGTTCATCCTATCTACAAATCAATCCATCATCAAGAAAAACTAGTAAAACATATTTAAAAAAAAAAGGTAATTTTTAGTCACTAATCTTCGTAATCACTAGTATATGACAATATGTAAAATTTCAGCATAACTACTATATGTTTTAATGAAAAAAACATGTCTAAATGACTAGTATATCGCATATTTTTAATCACTTTATCAAAAAGTTAATATTTACAATGGTTCTTCTGGAATTGCTTTATTACCATAATATAAGTTTTATATATATTTTTTTTGTAATATAAGTTGTTTGGATTTCGTGGCATTTATTAAATACAAAACTTACAAATTATAATGATTAACTACTAGTATGCGTAACTGTTTTAATTATTGTGTTATAAAAGTGAAATAAAAACGTATTAGGGGGACATATGATAGACAACTTCTTTCTCAGGCAGTGACGGCTCGTGGGGTGGTTCACAGTGACCGAATATAGGTATCAGTACAGATGTATGAAAAAACGTTCAGTGTTTTAGAAAGTTCTCAAGGCTTAGAACCTCTACTTCATCAGTTTCCTCCTCAAAAAAATAGTACACTTAGGTTGGGAAGTGAGCTATTATTTACCGTAGCGCCGAAGGATAGAATGTGCGAGGTTTATAATGACCTTCTTAACCGAAGTATACATATATGTCGTAGTCTTATAATTAAAATTTATAAGGACCGATTCCACCGTTGTGTTAAACGAAGTTTAAAATGACATTTTTACATTAACAATGTCATTTTAATCTCCGTTTAACACAACGGTAGAATCGGCCCTAAGTCTTTTAATGATTTTTATAATTTTTTTATGTCTCAAATTCAAAATTAAACATTTTTTGTCAAATTTGTTTTGACTTTGACGTTATTGACAGAAAAATGTGTTCCAACACAACCAAGTTCCGAATTCAGTCCCAATCCTAGACTGGTCGACTATTAGTTTATATGTGATTTCAAGATTGTCGTTGGAATAAACTTAAGGTAGGGAAGCCTTAAGCCTTGGTGTGCCTAAAAAGTTACTAGATTTTGACGAGTGACAAACAGTGTTGTCAACACAAAAATCTAGTGAGGAAAACAGTGTTACGAACCTACGAAAAAGTTACTAAATCTAGTTTTTAAATTGCTCTTTGGGAACTTAGCGATTTTCCATGTTAATTTACATACGGTTTGAGCTAGAACTTCTCCTTGAGAACTTTTTTTTGTAACGGATGACTGGAAGTTCCTTTAGGACTCCCAGGAATCTGAGGCTGGAGGTACGACAGCTTTGCTACCATAAGTTAGAGACTATTTAGACTTACAATTTGTAATGTAAAGTTTATCTTTGTTGCTAATATTTTATCCTATAAATATTTAAATAAAGCAAATATAAATGTTAGGTGAAATAATGGAAAATATAGTAACAATTTTCCAATAAAAATAATGGAAGCAGATGAAGTAGAACAAAACAGCAACCGTAGATAACTATAACAAAGGTGGGTAATTGATCGTGTACCAACATCTGCAGACATAGTTGCTCTTTTTACAAATACAATAGCAAATAAAATATAATACAACCTGTTGCTATCTCTCCTGCATCAAACATTTATTGCCATTGTATAAAATTATAATATTAAATCAAAAGCCAAGTAGTCACCTAAATATGCAAATGTAATTTATTCACAAAGATCGAATGACACCACGATATATTGTCTACAAGACGACGAGGAATATTCAATTTGAATAGATAAAACAATTAAGTTACAATGTATAAATTAAAAAGCAGCTTCTCAATTTAAATGTTTACAAAATAAATATACATTCAAGATGGCGAAATAGCTCTAGCCATACCTGCGTAAGTAACAGTAAGTTGAACGTGGCAACACTGTTTCGGAGCAGCTTTTTTACACTTTCCGAAGACTTTATGCAATCTAAATGTGTGCAAATACTAATTTTACGACAACGTGTGATGGTAATTATTCTGACACGGTCATAAAACACTCAGACAATCGAAATTATAATGTTTGAACGAGATAATTTAAATTGGGGGATTGTTTTTAATTCCTTTTGTAGGTATTAAAGTGCCGCTTAGTAATTTACTTAATATAAAAAAATATTGTAAGTAATAACAATTAGTTCTTACCTATTTGAGTGGCTGTTTGTTTCCACTGACCAGTCTCATTTCGGTGGTACCGTAACAAGTCTTTACACTGCACAAAGCTACTGTACACAGGTGCATAATCCCATTGGGTGACAATAGAAGTCTGAAATAGTGCAATAAATAGATAAAACCCAAACAGAAGTACCACTGGCAGGTAGAAATTAACTGAACTCGAGAAGAAAACGCTGGCTCGCCGCAACTAAAGACTAAGAAGAGTGTGGAAGAGGCGAGAGAGGCAAATCAAGTTGGCGGTCAGGTTATAGCCACCTGAGAGTCCATCGAAGGAGGGGAAAGAGTATACACACAGAAGTTGTGGAATGAACGGCAGCAGTGGCGTATATTCCACTATTTCTTTCTATGTACTAAAGCCGCGGCCGGGCGACAATCTTATGGTGGTCGTTCTGTAACGTACGTTCGGAGGTTAGGCGGTACTCTTTATTAATATTCATTGGCAGAAGTCGCTGGGAAATACAAACACCGCAATGCATTGTAAATATTATCAACAGATGGTAGTACTGCTTATTAAATTTTATTCAATTCGGAATTTAGATGATAACGAAATTAAATCATTTGGTCTTCATTGATTTGGAGCGGGCACACGACACGGTCTAGTAACAATTGAAGAGCTGAATGGCAGAAGGTGTTATCTAACAAAATTAGTACGTTTAGTACACAAATTGGTCGGTAGGCTTTTTCTAGTTGTCCCGGTTTCTCTTTTTCTAATATCACCAACCTTGCTCTTTTCCATTGTCTTGGAAATTCCCCTCTCTGATACATCTCCCTGAGTGGACTGTTAAAATTGTCTTTACCACTTCCGGTGGTATTCCGTCAGGTCCTGCGGCTTTCTTATCCTTGATTTTTAAGGCTGCTGCTAAGAGTTCGTCCTTGATGAACGTGATGATTTCGTCGTCATTCACAGAAAGCCTCATCCATACTATCTCCGGGTTTACAGGAAACAGTTTCTTGGCTATTTCCATTTGAACCTCTTCCGCTAAATTCATGGGTGCTGCGGATCTTAGTTTGTTCGTGACGATCTGATAACCTTTTCCCCATACGTCATTATCTACTTCTTCTATTAGAGTCTTCCAAGCTTTTTTCTTAGCCTCAAATATCGTTTTCTTTAGAATGGCTCTGCTTCGCCTATACTGTTCTTGATGCACAATTTTTGTTCTATCGTCATCTCGTTTATTTGCCCTTGCCATAGCTCTTTTATTCTTCAGACAGCTCTTTCTTTTCTCTGCCACATCCTCACACCACCAATATACCGGTTTCCTACGTGTCTTTTTTGGAAATACTATATTACATGCTGACTCTATGATTTTCCCTAGTTCTTCTGCGTTAATAAATTCATCTTTGGTTCTGAGTATCTTATCCACTTCCTCGGGTAGTTTATGTAGTTTGTCTTTCTTAACTCGCCAACCTTTTTTTGTTTGTGATTGTTCCATTTTCCCCGTTGTTTGTATTTCATAGACAATGTATTGATGATAGCTGAGACTTTCTTCCTCAAGGACTTTCCAGTTTTTTAAGTGCTTGGCAATATTTTTCGTGCTAAAAGTAATGTCTATGTATGACTCACCTTGATTGTGGACAATTAGATCATCTTCTGTTAATCATTCCGCCAGGATTTCTCCCCTTTTATCTTCTATCTTTGAACACCACAGATATGATTTGGCATTAAAGTCCCCGCCTACCACAATTTTCTTCTTATATTGTTTCATATCATTTCTAAGTGCATTCAGGAAATCTGTAAATTTTGATCTATCGAGGTATGAGGTATAAATAAAAAATTTACCTCTTAAACCTGTACTACTTTCTACAAATTAAATTATTGCACTCCTTTCTTCTCTAGACTACAGTCTTCATGTATTATATAGGTAACGCCTTCTGTCAGTCGCCCCTTCAATTAAAACTTTCTTTGTGTGTTTTTAATACCCCAATGAAAGTATCATTGTTTTTAGTAGTTTTTAGCCTTCTAATATAGAAACAATGGTCCAAATGAACTTTATTTTGGTGCAGGGAGAAAAATAAATGTACCTACTACAGGTAGTGTCCAGTATTCTCTGGGTATCCCCACTTTACTACTACACTTTGTTCACACCAACCCTACTAGTCTTTGTAAACCATCATTCTTCCAATTACCACTCTGATCTATGCATACTTCATCTAGTTTTCATGCTACTCTTAGACTAGGTAAAAAAGAAGCTACTAGATATTATAAGTGAAAAGTCGTGCATTTCCCATTTTACTCCATAATTTGACATTGTTGTTCAAAATTATGTCATGTCTAGTCTTCAACTTGATAAAAAGCGTAAATCCAAACGTTATCAACGAATGTTTCGGTATATTTTTTGTTGCCCATCGTTCAAGGTAAGTCTTAAAAAAAACGTTATCAAATAATTTATAACTTTTATGATTTTAGGAAGATCTAGAAGACAATTTTGTATGCGAATTTCCACCAAAATTAGTCTCATCCTCAAGCCAATATGAAGAAAATAGTATTAGTATTAAAACTAGCGATGAATCAGAAGGTGCTAGAGCTCTTTTCAGATGTGGTGCTTCTATGGATCTAACGTCTCCTGACAGCGATTCAAAAAAGGGACCTTTAGAGGCGGATATGAAGCTATCTTTAGACAAACTAGATAATTTAATAGTCACTTTAGATCATATTTATCAATTCTATTCCAAAGAATCAGCTTATTTTAAGAAACAATCTATTTCTAGATTACAAGAAGCTGAATCTACAGAAGGCAGTAATATAGATAGTGGTAATAAGTTAGAATGTTTGAATCCAAAGGATATCTTAGTGAATTCTGTTTCTACTATTATAGACTTGACAGATAGAGAAAAAATCGATAAACCTAATGAAAATAGCTTTTTGGAATTACAACGAAATTATTCTAATCTTTCAAGCACGTTAGGAACTTTTACAGACACAGTTATGGACCACATTACCAGTATCAAATCAGAAATAAAAGAGTTAAAAATTTTGTTTTGCAACATCAAATATGCAACTGATACGAGTATAAAAGAAAATAATTCAGCATTCTCTTGCGAGGATTTACAAAGTTGGTTCGAAAAGAAAGAACACGATAAGGATAAATGGTTCTTTCGTGCTGAAGAGTATAAATTTTTTGAAGCAAAGATGAGAGCATCAAATTTTTGTAAATTTCATAGGTTAAGTCAAGAATGTGATAAAAAGATTAATAAGTCAAAGAGCGAGTGTAGTCAAATTAAATGTATTTAAATTTTATGGTTATTTTAATTATATTTTTTGTTAATATAGCGTCCTTCAATACTGCTTCTTTACTACTAAAATTAATTTTTAGTACTTTAGTAGGTAATTGATTTTTTTGGAAAAGACGGTTGGTGCAGTAGATGATTCATTAAAATGATTACTTTTACAAAGTATTTAATGCAGTTTCACAAACATCAAGACTCCTAAAGGTTTATTTATCTTTGTGAAAACAATATAATCCCTTTGCATCAGTCGGGTTTTCAAAAGGGTTTCAGTACTTCAACAGCTTTGGCACATTTAAGTGCCAATATTTTCAACAGTATTGATAAAAAAGCAGGTGTCCTAGTTCTACTAGATTTTATCAAAGCGTTTGACACCATTAATCATAATCTTCTTGTATCCAAGTGTCAATATTATGGATTTGATAGAATTTCATTAAGTATCATAAAAACATACTTAAGTAAACGATCACAGTTAGTTACAGTAAACGGTCAAAAATCAACATCCATTCAAATCAAATCTGGTGTACCACAAGGTTCAGTCCTAGGGCCCCTGATTTTCTTACTCTATACTTCGGATTTCTACAACCCAGATAGCACAAAGTTGTCTTAAATACGTCTAGCATAAGACGTCTGGTATTTCCTGAAAGACGTCTTAGAAGACGTCTGATGTTACAAAAAGCGACGTCTTTAAGGCGTCTTATTAATGGCTTATATTGGTCTGTAGAGCTTAAAATAAGCCATAAATAAGACGTCTTTAAGACGACTTATTAATAGCTTGTAATGGTCTTGTGAAGCCTTAAATAATACGTCTTTAAGACGACTTATTAATAGCTTGTAATGGTCTTGTGAAGCTTTAAATAATACGTCTTTAAGACGGCTCATAAATAGCTTATAATGGTCATGAAGCCTTAAATAAGCCATAAATAAGACGTCTTATTAATGGCTTATAATGGTCTTATGAAGCCTTAAATAAGCCATAAATAAGACGTCTTATTAATGGCTTATAATGGTCTTATGAAGCCTTAAATAAGCCATAAATAAGACGTCTTATTCATGGCATATAATGGTCTTGTGAAGCTTCAAATAAGACGTCTTTAGGACGTCTCACAAATGGCTTGTAATAGTCTTGTGAAGCTTTAAATAAGCCATAAATAAGACGTATTAAGACGACTTAATAATGGCTTATAAAGGTCTAGTTAAACTTACATAAGCGATAAATAACACGTTCATTATTTTAATTCTGCTAATTCTATAATCTGTTTATAATAATATAAAATAATTTAAAAATGGGTATCATCGTGCATCTTGGTTATTAAAATTAGTAGAATAACCTTGCAGGTTATAAAGAATACAAAAAATAGAATTAAAAATATTTATTGATAAAATATCTATGTCACTAAGAATTATTTTCTTTGTAGCGCATTTGATCACTCCTCTTTAGCCATAACTAGATTGATTTTTTTCTTTCTTTTTGATTTGAAGTTGCGTTTGTATAGTCGCTCCTAAAATAAAATTAGGTAAGAGCATTATAGTCACAGGAAGTTATACTTTGTAAAAGTTAGTAAAAACCGAAAGAACAATTATGAAACAAAAAAAATTAATTTCTTACAATTTTAAATCAATTTTTATAATAAATCATTTAAGACAAGATGAGTTATTATACTTAATCGCCTATTTTGACAATTTTACTTTAACTTCACTCAAAATGGCTATCTAATATGTGGCTTTTGATATCAATAGTTCTCGAAATCTCCATAAAATTTAAAAAAAAAAGGAAATTGACGAATAACTGAATTAAATCTTATATTAAGATGTTTACCTTTTAGGTTACGTTCGACTTTAGGGACACACTGTTTGATCAGTTTTACTTAATTTTTTTGATTTAAATGATATTAAGAATGATTTTAACTCACCTTAGGTTTGGAAATAGGAAAAAAAGTATAAATCAATTATTTATTTTAATTAAATACTTTTTGAAAATAAGAAAACGAGTCTTTTTATTAAATTTAACCTAAAACTTGAAAATTTTAATATTTGACATTTCTTTTCTGGATAATGAGTGGGGTTGCAAGATTAATTTATTACTACTATTATTAAAACTAAGGTCTGGGTATTAACAGTATGACCAGGTAGCAGAGAATTTAGAGTGAAATTTTATGTTGAATGAATCAAATAAAATGATTTTGTAACATTGTATTTTTAGAAATTACTCAAAAATGTCATGTGAAATGTCAGTAAGTTATAAAAACTTACAAAGGATTCCTGTTTAATTTTATAAACAATTGTATGAGCTGATATGAACAGATATTATTCTTTGATCTGTGTTAGGGGTCGGGGAGCGATGTTTGATACAGATTCTGGTATTTTATCACAAAATTCTATTATTTTTATTTAAATAAACAAATCATAAAAGTATAATAATTTACGAGTTTACAAATTAATTATATCTTTTTACATATTAAAATACTTGGCAACCCTGTACACATAAGTCAAAATATTTGATGAAAAATGTGCAATTTTTGAGATTTTAATATTAAATGTCTTGCTTAATCTTTTAAGTCGAATGTAACCACTTTTTAATTCATTTAATTATTCTTATTTAGAAGAAACAGGATATTAATGTTTATGTATATAAACAAATATTCATTTATTACCTGTAGAAAGTATTCCAGGAACGTGATACATCGGTAACAGAAACTCCACTATTCTTACTTCTCTGGTTTTAGTCCCATATTATTTAAGTAAAAAGAGACCAAACACAAATGCACAAAGTAGCCCAAACACACTTTTTCAATAATTCACAATAAGCTTGGGCTTGAATGTAGTGTTAAGTCAAACGTCAAACTTCACTTCATTTGATTCTTCTTTTAAATTTGAATTATGTAAACCGTGCAAGTTTCCGTCCGACTGAAAGACGTTTGTAAGACGTCTTTGAGCTTTCACATTAATATATGGATTTGGAAAGACGTCTTAAAAACGTCTTTGAGCTCTCACATAATACGTCTGAATTATGGCTTTTGACAGACGTCTTAATAACGTCCTGAGACCAAACCAAGACACAAAAAAGACGTCATGTGCTATCTGGGAAACACGTAAATAATTGTGCAGTCCAATTTTTTGCTGTTGATACTCAGCTGTTCCTCGATTGTTTACCACCATGCTGCCTATCAGATTATAGTAAACAAAGGCCACCACTTTTTTTGCCTCTTATTCCGATGCGATAGTTGGAGATACCGTTATCTTGGAGGTCTACCCCACCTATATATTTATTGCAGCATTACTCAAAGTGTGGTCCGCGGAGCTCTTGGGCTCCGCAAAGCCTTTGTGGGGGTTCCGCGAAGAAAATAAGCAGTACCTATCGCTACAATGGGACTTGGCTTGAGGACCTATTGGTTTTTGTAGAAGGAGTATATGAGTTTGGTATTTTGGATTAGAGTACCTTTTTTTTGTTAGAAATGAGGAAGAGGAAGGTAATATATGATATGGTATTTTGAGTGGAGGACTTTTTTTTTAGAAGCCAGGGAAAGGAAGAAGTATATGATTTTGGTATTTTTCGTTTTTAAAAGTCAATCAGAGGAAGGCGTATATGATTTTGAGAATTTTCTTGTGGGGGCTCCACAAAGAGGCAAGAGCAAGGAGGACTTTTTTTTCCGAAATGTGTTTAGGGCTCCGTCAAATATTTTACTTTTCAAAAAGGTTCCGTCACCAAAAAAGTTTGAGAACCACTGATTTATTGTATTGATGGATTACATTTGGCAGATAATGGGTTAAGTAACCCTTACCAAAAAATAACGTTAGAGAAATCATTTAACTTTATGTGTGTAACATCAGGAGTACCCCAATGCTCTGTCCTTGGGCCCCTTTTGTTTTCCATATATATTTCAGACCTTTATAAATTATTGGAGCATGTAAATATACACTCTTTTGCTGACGACATGCAACTATATTGTTCCTTTAACCCATGTGAAGTAGATATAGCCTCTTAAAACATGATTTTATTATACTGTACCAGACATATCTTTGATCTACTAACCCAATTTTACAAATCTCTGATATTGAAAGCTTTTAGGCATAACATGAAAGGAAATGTTCTAATAATAATAAAACATACAAATATATTTAACATTTTCATTTATTAATATAAAATGCAGCTTTAAAATCGAATCGAGCAAGTCGAAAAATATCTCTTACTTAAAATAGCTTATACTTCAACACATTTTTCACTTATTTACATTTAACAAATATTTTTACGCAGACATGGCACAACAAATCTGTACGCATAATTCAGAGATACATTCCGCTTGCCCGCTCAAAAAAAAAAAATATAAATCACGATTCATTTTCCAAACCATCGGAATTATTATCGTTATCCGAATCATCGTCATCGATGGTCTCCCCTAAATCCCTTAAACGTTGCTTGAACGTGTTCAATTTTAAGTCCTGATCAGTCAGTAGCTCCAACAAATCATCCTGATCCTTCCTGATTCTTTCTATCTCTTTTTTCGCCTCGTCCCTTTCGATTTCTAACGTTTTAACTCGTTCGAGCAACGACGATTCAATGCTCGACGACAACGGTTTGATCGATTCAATTATTTGAGGACCGTTTGTGACGTTTGAAGGGTTGACAGCTAGCTGGGCTTTTAATAAAGTGTTTTGGTCGATTAGTTGTGTGTTGGTTTCTTGCAATTCTTTGATTTGCGTCTACAACGAGAAAAATTTTGTGACTTGATGAGAGAACAAACTTTTGTACCCAATCAAAATGTTCTTACAGCGAACGAAGTCTAGGGATAAGGGAGAAAAGGTAATACCAAAAAAGCAAAAGGGGTTAAATAAAAAGTAATAAAAAATTGTCTCAACTAAACTTTTAGTTTAATTTTTTGCAACGTGTATAGAGCTGAAATAAGGTCTGTAAACAATGCCATAACAAAACAAAGTAAAAGTTTAAAGATAAATAAAATAGAATAATTTAGAATATCAAAAAATATTATTTGTATATGCAATAAGTGCTTCTTTATTTACCTCTAATCCCTGAGTGGTTTTGTGCATATTATTCATAGATTTCTGCATATCTTGAAGCTTCTTATCCTGGTCCCTAATCAGTTCCTTATACTGCAATAACAGGGCATTTTCATGTTCGTTTAAACTCAACTCTGACATTCCATTCGAGAGGTCTCTCTGCACGCCCAGCGCTTGGATAATGACTCCTTCTAGAGTTTTTAGAAGTTTGCAGAATTCGAATTCTAAGAAAAATACAGTACTTATTAGTAATTTAATAATGTTTAAGGAATTATGGCAGCTGTAGGAAGGAATCTGTTTTGCTTACCTAATAGAAGTTCGCTGGAATGTTTGGATTTGATTTGTGGTTGCTTTGCTGCCTTGGCATACACTTCATGCCTGGATATTTCGACTAGTTTTTTGCAATATGTGTCTATGCCGACTCGCTTTTCTATAAGTTGACTTAGATTTTCTTTGGAATAGTTTGGTACAGAATTGTCATTGTATAACACACAAAGACCCATTAGAAAAGCACACAAACCCTATAACATAAATTAACAATTAAAAACTTAGATTGGAGCTATATAGAAGTTTTCAACCCATAAAAAATTGAGAGGTTAATGCAATTACTCCAAAATTCGAATTTGATATAACACCAATCTTTCCTTTCTTTTTTGTTAACACATGCACCTTATTTACACCTTTAATTACCTACATCCAAAATCCAATAAAATAATCATTGTTACTTAGTTTAAACAAACTATTTACCTGTAACAGTTCTTCATTGTTATCAAACTCACTAGCAGAAGTTTGAGCAGTCAAGTAAGCCATAGATCCAGGCACATTTAGAAATACTTTCACAGCCTCTGGTGAATGTGCCATCCACTGTGCTAATAACATCAAAATCCCTAACTTGGCTTGCAATTTACTAGTGTGCTGCAAAAACACAGCACTCTGGTGGAGCAAGCTGACAGGCTGCGCGCCCAAGCTAGTAGCCAATAGTACTCTCAGTAGCTGCTCCTTTTGGGCTGGGTTTTCTATAAGGCAATGGGATAAGGCAACAGCTGAAAACCAATTACTCAAGTGATCTTTACTAAATATGCCACTGCACAAAATTTGACCCATGCTTAGATTTGATACGCCAGCGTTGCTGGGCAAGAGTGTTTGGACTACTAGTTCTTGTCCAATTTCGTTTTTGAATAAGAAACATTCAAAGCAGTAGAGAACTGCACATCTTAAAGTAAATGGCTGCTTTTCATTAACCATTGACATTAATAGAACTACTATGGCAGGTCTAGGTGGATTTGAAGGGGCCAATACGTTGGCAAAATATTCTTGGTTAGTTAGATTTCCTCTTATTACTTCACCTAGAATATTAAAAATGATTTATTTCTTATACAGATTTATGAGCATAACTTTTGATAAAACTTAATTGAAAAATTACACAACTAATTGAATATTCAACAGTAAAAATTTAATTTTTTTTTAAGGTGGTATACCCAAAAAGTCTTTACCACAACATTTAATAAAATTTGGAGATAATAATGGTGACTTATCCTCATCATTGAGCATTAAAAATTATTTAACACTATTCTTAAAAAAAAAAACATAGTCTCCTCAGTTAAAACAGTTGGATAAATTATATAGTGTGGTATATAATATTTATCTTTTATAAATCAGGAAAATATGATTATCAACTGACAGTTTTTCTTTATGAACAATGAGATAAATTGGAAATATTTCTTATACAGTATGTCCCCCTAAGTTGGAATCATATGGAAAACTTTTTTATTATTAATTTTAGGAAAAAAAGTTATACTTCATAAAAAGTTCTGCATTTTCTAAAACCTAGAATACAGTCATCAAATATCAAATTTTTTCAATGGTATACGAGGTTTGTCAAAAAATATGAGTTTTACTCAAGATTAAAGTACCTTTATTCTTTATATGACTGATAAAATTTGATATCTGATGGTTGCATTTTAGGTTTTAGACCATACTCGTCTTTTTATAAAGAATAACTTTTTCCCAATATTAATAATAAAAAAGATTTTCATATGCCGCCCATTTACGTCGACAGTTGGTGGCATAGGAAAGCTTTTTTATTACTAATTTTAGGAAAAAAAAGTCGAGCATGGTCTAAAACCTGAAATACAATCATCAAATATCACATTTTATCAGTAGTATAAAGAATAAAGGTACTTTACTCTTGAGTAAAACTCATATTTTTTGACAAACCTCGTATACCACTGAAAAAATTTGATATTTGATGACTGTATTCTAGGTTTTAGATAATGCAGAACTTTTTATGAAGAATAACTTTTTTCCTAAAATTAATAATAAAAAAGTTTTTTATATGATTCCAACTTAGGGGGACATACTGTATATAGTTATTAGTCAATTGAAGTTAAAAGTAGCCATTGCAATAAAAAGTGTAATGTATTATTTAGATACTAGAGAACCCAAGTATAGTATTTAGCAGACCAGTATTTGAAAAGAGATGGGTCATTATTTCTTTTTCAAGTACAGTAGAGCAATCAATAATCCAGAACCTGTCTGGATTTTCAAAAAGAACCAAAAAAGGTCGTTTGAAGTCATAACAAAAAGAAAACTTGCTAAAATCGTTAATAATTCACTTTTGTGGTTAAATAATTGAGCAGATAAATAAAATCATTAATTAATATGAATTTATTCTAAGGCCCCACCCAGCCTGTCACATCAATGCTTTTGTTTGACAAAGATGCATGTATGTATTTGCTTTAACTTTTTTTTTGTTTTTCAATGGAATTGAATCCAGATTTATGATGTCCACAACTTGATATATTTCTATCAGTAACACAGAAGAAATATTTACAAATTATAGCTTGGAAAAATCAACTTTTCTGACTAGTCACTTGGAAGTAAATAGATATTTTAGACCTGCAACTCAGATACAATATTTTTTTCAGCTTGTAACTCAGAAAAATTAATTGTTCTGACTTATAACAAAGATTTTTTATACTATTAGAAAACAAATTGTTCCCCAGTTACAGATATTTGGAGCAACCAATTCATAAACATTAATAAAAGAGAGTTTTTATAGTACTCAAATAACATCTTGGTTACCTCCCAATGTTGCTTATTCTTCTTATTCAAATATTTGCATTTAAATGTTATACATACCTACAGCATTAATAGTTTCTGTGAGAATATCAGCAGGTACCCCACTAGCCATTAATATGTTACTTAGGGCTTCTAACAAATTGGCATTCCTCATAGTCTTCTGACAAGCTGTGATGATCTGAGCAGAATTATTTGGGGATACTACTGTACGAACTAGTTGTAAAACACAAAGAAAATTTGATACCTTTTGAGGACTCCAACCTACTTCTTCTAAATTAGGTGGCAGTTCAAACATTGGGGAAATTTTTTGAAGATAAGCACCTTCTTGGAAAAAATTAATGTTACTATTATTGTTCTTGAGAAGATTTAACATTAGAAGTAAACAGTCTTCCACTACAATACCACCATCAGTCCACCCTTCATCTTTGATTATATCGAATAAACGATCAAAAGCATTCTCAAATGCAACTATTTTTTGAATATTTGCATTAGATTTTGTTAAGTTAATTAGTAAGAGTAATGCATCGTTTCTAATCACCTCCCTATTTTCTAATAATAAATCCATTAATTTTGAAACCCCCATAGGGCTGACTAGTATTATATCTTGTACATCTTTTGGTTTGGAACAAACTAAAGATGTCATTAATCTAATGGCTGGCCATCTTACACGAAAATCATACTCTTCCAAAAAGGTTAAAATTAAAGTAACATTTTCAGGATTTTTTAAAAACATTTCTGTGAATTGCTCGCCCACATTGACTTGCATGTTTATGTTATTCTCGCTTTCTTCTTCGAAAGTATCTTTAGACGTTATGTTACATAGCGTGTCTAAACAATAACCTATTATTTCACAATCACTACGATCTAGTTCTAAAACTTGTTTCAGTATGTCCATTCCTTGAGCACCGACTTCTAATCTATATTTTTTAGATAAAGCTTTAAGAGCTCTACAAGCATCTCGCCTGTCTTCTAATAAAGTCGACGTACTAACTCGGCTAACCAATCTCTCCACCTAAAAAATGTTTTATTAACAAAACATATTTTTATCAATTTTGCCACACTTACAATTTCTGCGCCAGTGGGTTGGTTTCCTGGCGTTGTTGTGCCGAGAACTGATTTCAGCCCGCTTCTAAAATACTCCATTTTAAAGCTTATTCCTCTAGTTTAACATAATTATTTAATAAAAAAATGTTTATTTCTTATATTTCTTCCCGAAATCAACAACGCATCTGACAGTTCAAGTCATGATGTGTCACTGTCATTAGTGTCATTCCCTCCCAAATGTCAAATTCTTATCTTCTTTTTAAATCTTTCTTAATAGTCTCAAATATTCTGGTTATCAGTACTTATATTCACAGAAATCTACTATACCTACTTACTTTGCTAATTTGTAGATAGATGGCGCCTCCGCCAATTTTTGTTCCAACATTTTGCGTTCATTTGAACTTTTTTTAGTTTTCTCAGTAACTATACATCGAATTACTTTATAAATTCACACAAATGTAAAGAACCGATAGATTAGATGTTAATGTGTAAATTAATACTGATTGGCTAGGCATATATACAAGAAATACTGTAATTTTTATATTTTATCTATGCCCATACTTCCCACTTTTATTTTACTGAATCTTAGTACAGCCAAATCAATTCAAACAGCTTTTGAAAATAGGAAGGAGTAAAATAAAACAAAAGCTCAATAACTTTTATTTATTACCTTTTTAGACCTTTAAATTCCCTACCTAATAAAAATATTTCAGCAGAATCTGACCTACTTGAATTTGGTTTTACCACTTTAACTTTATTATAAAATTTAGCCATGTCGTTTTCTAATTGTTTGCATTCTGCACACTGCCACAATTTTACTAACAGACAAGCATTTTTTTCTGATATTTCCAAGGCAAATTTTAGTACACTGTAACAGAGTTTAATTATATTTGCAATGTCCATTTCTCTTATTCCTGTGGCACTGGGAGCCATGTCGGATACAACAGAGTTTACAGTTTTATCACCTAAAAAATCAACTAACTTTTTTTGGCTTTCTGGTTTAGTAAAATCCATGTTTCCAAAAATTGTTACACCCTGAAATAAAAAAAAGAATGTCAAGACTAACAAAAATTTACGGTTACAAATTCTACATACATCTATGGGATAAATATTTTGCTTGTCAATTGCTAAAACCATTCCCTTTGGCAAATCTTCATTTACTCCATTCGAATTAACTTTATTAGTTATTACTTGCGACCAGGATCCCGGAGAAGCGCCTACGTCGATAACTGTATATCCAGGTTTTAAAATATTGTACTTTTCATTGATTTCTATTAATTTAAAGGCACTGCGACACCTGTAATTCATCTGTCTTGCTTTTTCCACATAAGGATCAGAAAGTTGTCTTGAAAGCCATTGATGGGAACTAACATTTTTTTGCTTTAATTTTAGATCATTAGGAGTAATTTTACGATCTAAATATCTACAAGTTGAAAAGCTTCTATAAACAATATTTTTTATCATTTTCAAACATATTTTTGAGGTTATATTGAAATTGGAGTTCTTCTTTTTTTTATTAGTGGTCTGCTTTTGTCGGGGTTTTTGTGGTTACTTACTAAAGCAAATCATTTCTTCTTTTTTAGTCTTTTTAATTAGACATTGACGTTTAATTGTGACATTTTTGAGATATTCAACATTGCTCATTGTTAATAAAATAATTATTTTATAATATTCCGTATTTTAAATAGCAGAATGAAGATAACAGTAAAATGTTTAAAGGGTGGAAGTAGTTTAGTGGACGTTAGTGAAAATACCACAGTTTTAGAACTTAAAAAGATTGTTGAAAGGGACTTGAAAATTCCAGTATTTCAACAAACACTAATATTGAATGGAAAGTGTCTTCAAGATGACAAATGCTTGGTCACATATCCAAAAATAAAAGATGGAACTAAGCTGTACGTTGCAATAAAAAAACCTGAATCTTTCGGTACCACACTTCATATATTTTTAAGAAAACACTATTCGGAAGAACAGTGCAAAGTTATTGTTGATGAATTTATGAGAAACTTTCACTCTAAAGTCGAAAACCTGAGTTTAGATGATCTAGAGAGGATAGCAAAGTCAGAAATAGACAGTTTAACAACATAAGTTTTATAGTTTTGGTGTATCTATATCTTTACTGATGTAATATATTTATAGTATAATTATTTTTAACTTGTTTTTGTGTTTATATTAAAACTATTAAATTCCATTCACCAATTACGATATATAATTTTTCTTAAAATGTATGGTATTGTGTTCAATGTAGGTTATGTTACCATTTCTTAGGTTTTTTGAACCCCAATGATAAAATAACTGGTTCGATTCTTTCATTCATTCATCAATTCGTCACTGGAAAGGCAAAGGGACGAAAACTGCCCAATTTCTTCTCCTTATAGTTAGGCAAATTAATGTGTACTGATTTTTTCTTTTAAATGTGTGCCGAGGTTTGTATAATTGGTTGCCTATGTTGTGGCTGTTTTGTCAGAATATTTTATTAGAGATATATATACCAAAGTTTGTATAACTGGTTGCCTATGTTATGGCTGTGTTCAACAAAGATTTCAGTACTAAAAAACTGATTTAAGGTACTTACTTCTTGCAGGGATTACCCATATCATTGCAAGGCCAACGTTTTAACAAAATAATTATTTAAAAAAGATGCCCCATTAAATAATATTTCTCTTCTCCGATAGGCGCCGACAGGGGGGAAGGGGCATGGCCGGCCCTAAACATTTTGGCGCTCCGGACAAAACCTTAATTTTGCCCCCCCACGTTTTTTAAGTAAATCTCATGCGACCATATCAGAAAGTCAAGAAAACATTGAAAAAAAAAATAAAAAAACGTCAGTCATCAGATACCAAGATAAGCAATTTAGCACTTAAGGCAAAATAACAAAAATTGAAATGTAGTAATGCTAACTAAACTAATATCCCATATTATAAATAAATTCTAACTAACCAAAGTAATTAAAATGCCCTTTTTCTAACTTTTCTTTCGGCAAACTCACGAACCAGTGATTTCAAGTCTAATTTGTTAATATTATTTTAAAAGTTATAAATCTAAATATCATTTGGTGGGCGCGACCTACCTTTTTTATGTCTTCTGTTATCACTCTTTAGTGTTATTACCATCTCATTTTGGCCATGGTTCCCCAGGAAGAAATAAGATCAAATGTAAGTGTTTATTTTTATTTCAGTTATTTTTTTAGACGAGTATACTGGCACAATTACATCGATTTAATAAACAATACTTTATATAGAATAAATAATACCTAGTTGTTAAAAATATTTTACTTATTAAAAAAAATCAATTTTATACAATTTGTACATAGAAAACTACAATATTTTTGCTATAATATAAGAGCATTTTGTTATATACACACACATACACTAAAAGTTCATTTTATTGTTATAAAAGAACATTTTTATTGGTATAGTTATTATAATTTTTAATAGGTATACAATTTGTGATGAATGATTAATACTGACAAAATATGTTTTTTTTTTATTATTTAAAAGCTAAAGGCATTTTTATCGAGTCATACTTGCGGTTTTAATTTTTGGAATAAATAACTACATGGTATTAAAATCATGTTGCCATATAATGATACATAGTAAGCTAATTTTGATTTAAAACTAGTTATAAAATATGATCTATGTTTTTGAAAATAACATTTTTGTTATTGGATAAAGTATAAATATTTTTCCAAATTTAATTCAGGATCATTGTAAAAACCAAACATTCTTACATAGTAAATTGAATAGTTTTGGAATTTAACGTTATACGAGGGATATGCTAAAAATTTTTTGATACTCAAAAACTAGCTATTTAGGTACATTGAACTTTTTATATTGTCAAAATTTAATGGAATTAAATAGCATAATGTCAACTGACAGCGCTTCTCCAAACATATTTGCCAGATTAATCGACTTTTTGACCTCACAATGCATTAAATTATTACCCCATCCTCCTTATTCACCTCATTTAATTCCTCGTATTTGTTTCTGTTATTTACAATCAAAATAATAAGATTCTTTCATATATTCAAGCAGTTTTCATTGTATTTAAAACATTTTAGCATAACCCTCGTAATGTGATGTATTTTTTATGAAAAACATTTTCCAGCTAGGTTTAATACACTTGAAAATCTTTTTAAATAGCATGTGGTAATGGGCGATGATTTAAATTACTTTAAAGTAGATTTTTAATGACCATAATATTTCAAAATTAATATTGCTTGTAAAGTAACCAAACATAATCGTTTAAAAATTTCCATTTGACTTTGTACAGTTCGATAAGAGTATAATAAAAATTAGAAAATATTTGTGTCTCTGTCTTACAAACTAGTTGAGTAATATTTGAAATCTTCGTTGCGCTATTTACTAGAATAATACCTACAATGCGTCCTATAAAATTAACATAATTGAATGAAAACGAAAATATATATAACCAAAAGTGTACATTCTGTAGAATTTAAAAATTAAAACCGATATTTTAAAATATATAAGAAAATTTTTGTGGGCCACATTGTAGGTACCATATTAATTTTTTTTTAAATAAAAATTTTAATATAAAAAATATACAAATTTGTACTAAGCTAAATAAATAAATTAAAGCTATACATAAATACACTAATCGGGTTCTAGTTTTTTTATACTTCAAAATTATTATAGTGATGATGGATGATGTTTTAATTTCTATATTAGACAATAATTCCAGTACTTATATGAAATTCCAGCCCGAACTGGTTGAAGGAAAGAATGTCAAATAATGGCCACAACTTTCACTTACACGACAGATCGCTAGGCAAAGAATGTGGCAAAGATTCTTCAACTGTGTCTGCAGTAAAACTGTTGCCAACATTTAAGGGTTTTTTTAGAAATTTCTTATTTTTGGACAAAACTAAAGGCTGTTGCAACAAAATAATAATAAATAATTAATAATTAAAGATTGTTCTACATATACAGGACGTTCAAAAATATTGTACTAAATGATCGATCAAGAAACCGTTTATTAAACAATACAGGATTTAATAACCGAGAAAAACATTGGAATTGATAGGTAATCCAATATATACACCAGATTTGGCACCCATCGACTTCTTTTTATATCCGCTGTCAATGTCAATGTTTTTAAAAGATAAATGAACGAGATAACTCCTAAAACAAGGAACAAATTTTTTGAAAATTGATTGTATTTTCTGTAATGATGAATATTTTGATAAATTTTATAATAGGTTTAAAATTCAACGAGCCTGCGTTGAGAAAAAAGGAGTTTAAATATTTTCATTGACATCTGACAAGCAAAGGACTACTTTGTAATTCAATCGTGAACAAGTTTTTTCAAAAGGTTTAAAAAAAATGTCCACCCTAGGTTCTAAAAAAGTTATCACTAAATTCGTATTGACAGATTTTTGCTTGCAAGTTACTGATAAGGACCATTTCATACCAAAAATTTAAAATCTTTTAGAGATACTCTGTATATACAATTTTACTTGGATTAAAATTTTATCAGGTAAAATCAAAGTTCAAAATCCTGTTTCATTCAAAAATTAATTTATAAATAATAAAATTAACGTCTAACTTATTATTTCTCCGTAATTCATTTATTTTCAATTTGTTATTTACCGTAATAATTGATATGCGACCGTGGCTGAACGAATAATAATAGTTTTGTATATATAAACATTTTTTATAAATTAAAATTATTCAAATATTATTGTTTTAGTTAAAAACCAACAACATTCAATAAACGTTTAAAACACTTATTGCGTATAATCAAAGGTCCAAAATTAAAGTAATAATATATATTTTATGAAAAACGGCTAGTCTTTACAAATATATACAGGGTTGACCAATACATCTGATCGAAAATATTTGATCGTAAAACAACAATCAAAAAGAAAATAAATTTGATTAAAAAAGTAGTTGATCGAAAAAACAACATTATCACATATTAAATTATTATAATTTAAGTATTAAAGAAATTAACTGTGTATTATAAAAAATTGTTTTAAAATCATTACGGCATAAATAGGGGTCAAATTTGTTTGCAAAGCAACCTGTGATGGCTCCAGGCCGCACAGGTTAAGTAATAGTTAATTTTTTGTAATTTTACGTTCTTTCGATCTATTAAATTTTAAATCTACTGTTTTTTCAATCACTTGTATTTTCAATCAAATTTTCAATTCGATCAATTTGTGCCACCCTAGCTTATGAACAGGGCAAGTAATGAAACAGAAGAAAGGCTGCATAAATTGGAAATATATTTGTAAAAAACAAGCCGAGTAATGTTCATGCTGACTTTCCTGCAGATTTTGCAGACAATAACTTATTTATACTGAACTGAACACCTTTTTTTGTTTAATTTGAACCATTTGAAAGCAACATTCAAATATATAAACGTAAGTACTGATACAGTAAAATATTCTATTCTATACACAAGATAAATACCTATATATAACACAGTGATATCACATAAATAATCACCTTCTGTTCGACTGTTTATGTTTAAATTTGAACAAATAAGCGAAATCATCTGTTGGGATTGATCTATAATAATTAGGCTTCTTAAACTGCTCCATATCTAGATAAGCATGCTTCCTTGAAAACCTCAAAACAACGGGTCTTTGATAGTTATCATCACTCCATCTAGGAGGTAACATAAACAAACCGTTATTTTTATCCCGATTTCTTCTATTTGAAGTTTCCTGCGGGGCTACAGTCGCGTGGGAGTCCCTGAAGTTTATTAGATCAAAACTGATCTCAGGCTCTACAGGTTCTCTAGCCTGAGCTACGCCAATAGCGCGAGGCATGTGATTGAAAGACGAAGGTATTTGAGACGGGGTCACGTCTTCATTGCTGGGAAACCTGAAGCGAGACTGAAGAGTTTGAACCTTTGGTTCCATCGGAAATCTTATTATATTAGATTCCGATGTTGCTGGATCGAAAAAATTGTTATATTTTGGAGAAGATGTCGTTTCTGTTTCTGTTGTTGGATCTGTATTAGTAGTTGTATCACCAAACGTTGTTGTTGTAGTATCTATCTTGGTTGTAGTTGTAATCGTTGTTGTATCAACGGGCTCTGTTGTCGTTTCGGTCACAGTTTCTGGTGTAGTTGATTCTACTAACTTTTTTAATAGTAATTCTTGTTCGGCTTCGTCTCCAAGGCTTTCTCTTTTGCCTAAACTGTTTTTACCGTAATAATTTTGTGGTTTAGTCGGTGAGACTATAATCGCTACGTCTGATTCTTCGATACCGTCATCTAGATCGTCATCACTTTGTATTCCTAAAGGAATATTGACTTGAAATGGTCCTGGGGTTGGTGCAGGATCATCGTAATAATCGTCGTCATAATCAGCTGGACTGAACTTCTCTTTAAGTTTTTCTATAAGAAAATCGTAATGAGCTGCTTGGTCTAGTTTAATAATTTTGATACATCTTCCTAGGTGATCAGAGCTGTAGCCTTCAGCACAAGCTGGAAGTGATTCAGGACTGAAAGTCGGTGCTATAAAAACGGATTTTGGTGTAATTCTTCTACGAAGTACTCCGTCAGAGGGTTGCTTGTTTTGATTTTGTTGCTCATCCACCAATAACCAAGCTTCCCAAGTCAATTCAGGTGATCTTTCGTTCAAAGGCTTCGCAGGATAACACGAAGATGAAGAGAAGTACAGTATCAATATAATCACGAACTTGCACATATCCATCACTACAATGTACTTTTTTAACATTTTAAATATGTTTATGGGCACCCATGCGGTATGAGCACTCTTGTTCTTTTATTCACTTCAGTGGTTGATAGCTTACTGAACCAATACATCTAGAGTTGGCTTCGTAAATAGGATAAAATCTGCAAATAAAAAAAAATAATTTAGATTATTGAAATATTCGCTTTTATTGATAGATGTAGGTACATAAATTTGTTTTTTGGCAAACAGCCATGCCATGCTGTTTTGGTGATTTATCGATACAATTTAATTTATAAAAATATCATCAAATAAGTTGAAATTTGTTTATAGAAGCCGTTCATGTAGATTAATCAAATCAAATCAAAGTAAATGTTTATATACCTGTGGTATCCAATCAATTAATATGAGTCAGACCATTGTTTAAGTTTGACAATTTTTAAATAATCAAATGGTAGCACCTGGAGTCTGTATTACGTTGTTTAATATACACATTATTCTGACTCATATAGGCACAGGAATTATATAAACTTGGGAGATGTCATATCTCAAAATATCTCAAAACTGATAATGCTTTAATAAAATTTCAAAAATTAGAAAATAATCAGAAGAACATTGAGAAAAAGTACATTTATGTCGACAGACTTAATAGAAAAAATAATATTTTGATTTACGGAGTAGACATCGCCAAAAACACCGATGTTATCGAAACTGTTATTAAAATTAGACAATAGTATTTAATAATATAAAAGAAAACAGTGACGGAGAGAGCAAGTATATTATATACAATGTAAAAAATAAAGAAACTTTAAAGAGCACAAAAGATAAAACTGTAAACAAAGATAACAGAGAAGAAAAAAAGAAAGAAGATAAAAGAGAATTAGGAAAAATTCTACAGCCCTGGGCAACTATAATACTAAAAACCGGATTCATAGCAAATAAAGAATATTTAAGAAAAGTAGGTACAAGAAAAAGTATACAAAAATTATTACACTAAAAAAAAATTGTATTCAAATGGATGTGAATTATGAACCATTTAGAGTTAAATTTTTAAAATGATTTAAATGAAATTAACAAAGTAAATTCAAATGGAATGTTTGGGTTTTCATCAAAATATATGCAGCATTAACAAAAATCTAGAATCTAGATCTGGTAAATGTTCAAAACAATTTAAAATTGTGCCTTTACATAAAAAAAGGTCCAAAAAAATCTAATTAACAAATATCCAATTTCTGTAATTACAACTTTTAGAATGGAAAATTTTATAAAAAAATATAATATTGTGTCAAAGTGTCAATACGGTTTTTAAGAAGGCTTATGTACAAGTGATGCTATTTCAGCTATATTACAAAAAATTTATACAGCTGTAGATGAAACCAAACCATCTTTATGCGTTTCTCTGGACCTTGCAAAGACTTTTGATTCTGTGAGCCACCCACAATTGTTGGAGGCTTTGGAAGATTCAGGAATACGTGGCATTACACTAAAACTCCTAAAAAGTAATTTGTCTGATAGAGAAGAGATGGTAAAAGTTGAAAATGAATTTAGTGCAAGTCAAACAGTTAAATTTGGAATGCCCCAAGGAACAGTGTTGGGTCCTTTACTATTTTCAATGTATCTAAATAATATTTTCACTATTGATACTCTAGGTACTATCAATAATTTTGCAGACGACTCGGCGGTATTTTATGAGACTAGTTGGGAAGAATTAAAAGAAAAAGCTGAAAAGGATCTAAAACAAATAATAAATTGGTTTAAACATAAACAACTTACAGTTAACTATGAGAAAATATTTAGGAGTAACTGTCGACTCTCATTTAAGATGGAATTTTCATGTAGATGTTTCTCAAAAAAATATAATAATCCCTATTATAGAATCTCCTACTTAGATAAGGTTGGAATTAAAGAATCAAAACATGTAACATTTATTGACTTAACAATGAAGAAAAAATACAATAAAAGATAATTGAGCGATATCTTATGAACTTTTTTAACGACATTGTGTACATCCTGCTTCTCAGATAGTTAGACCTTGATTCTACGTTTTCATGAATCAATATTAATTTAAAAAGTAATCAAGAATCAATAGCCCATCTTTAAAATTGTGTAATTTTTTTTGTTTGAGCTGAAAAATTATCGTGTATTATTGGAAAGGTCAATGTAACCAAAACACAAGTTCTATTCTACCAAAACATACACCTACCTCGTCTGTCTCCGTTATTTATATTACAAGTAATAATATAAACAATAATAAATATTAAGTGAATTATGAACTGGTAGGAAACGACTCATAAAATTGTGTGTTAACATTAATTTTTACATGCACAAACAAAATTTAATCAATTATATGGATGGATCTAAAAGTTTTTCGAGTGATAGTAAATAGTATTTCCAACAAGAGCGGCTCCAGGTCATGCTAATAAAAATGTTGATCCGCGAGGACCTTTTTTTTAACCGATTTCAAAAAAGGCAGAGGTTCTCAATTCGTCGCAATATTTTTTTTTATGTATGTTCAGAGATAATTCTTTAACACGGTGTCCGATTTCAATGATTCTTTTTTTGTTAGTAAGGGGGTACCTCAGGGGTGGTCCCATATAAATTTGGTTAAGATGTGGTGATGGCATCTGCACGTTTTTGAAGTCGGTTTTTTTAAATTTTTTATTTCTAATACTTGTTTTTAATTTCTAATACTTGTTGTTCTCCAAGTCCTATTTGCTACGTTTAAGATTTTGGAAATGTTGTCTAATGCATAACATATATACTCTACGTTACCACTTACAGACTAACTCACAGATTGAGCCAGTGAGTAAGCAGCGCTCTTCTAAGGCCAATATTGTGATAATGGAGTGAAGTTCGAAAGATTAAAGATTGTTGAAATATCTACATATATCACCAACTGCAAGCGGATGATCGAGACCAAATTAAAGACTGTTTTAACATTGAATAAACTGAATCCTAAACATTTTATAAAAAAAAAAAACTTCAAACGTGAACCATTAGTCATAATCACATTCTGGGAATACCGGAAGCGCGATTGTTTTAGAGACATGAATGAATGATGAATGGATGTCATTGCTTTTGGGATATTATATTTATTTTGAGGAAATCGAACAATTTCCGTTTCACGCAATTATGTACGAACGTGTGTAAATACAGTATTGTACGATTAATGTGCCGATCACAGTGGCGTCCCTTATTCTTTGTAGAGGAAAAGGAGTTTTTAACGCATTTGAAGATTCAATCTTGAAGAGTTTACTGTTATAATTAGGTGACTTGACATACATTTGAGTTTAATTATAAGAAGCCTTCGAGAAAAGTCATAATTGGAGCTGGCTTTCACAGAATGACACTTACTGCCAAAATATTGAAGTGCCTTTCTGGTCGTATATGATGTTGCAAGCACTTGTTTGGCGGTTGCCCCCTGGCTTTTTATTTTGTTAATTTGTTATTATTGTTTTTGGATACATATACAATTTTTGCATGCATATACAATTAATTGACAAGCTGAAACTTTTTTGATTTCCCCCTGATTTTTTCCTGCGTACGCCCATGGATATATAGAGAAATAACAAAAAAATATCCTGTTTATTTAATGTTGGCAAAATACCAACAGGTTCTTCCTTTATAAACAAAATAGATGCGTAATTAAAATATTGCGTTCATTATATATTTTTTCGTGAAAAATGCGGAACACATTTTAAAGATTGTTATTTCTATAGAGGAATTTAGATTATACAGTTTAGCCACGGTTATTTTTAAACTTTTTTTAATATATATGAAGTCCTTCAACAAAATCACAGGTGTTACTGTTTCTGCTATAAGAAAAATAAAGTCAAATATATATGGCTAAAGTATAGTTCACTGTTTATAGTTCTAATCAAAGATATTTTTTCTTTTTTCACAAATACTTATACAGGGTGTAACAAAAATATGTACAATAAATTATTTAACCACAGTTTGTGGTTTTCGGATAGTAAAAAAGTTACAGGATATTGTTTTACTGTGAAAAGTAATAAGTAGGTTAGTAATTAAACAAAAATTTAAAATCCAGACTGTATTTGCAATGTACTGCAAAAATTATGCACCAAGAAAATTCTAAATTGTCAAAAAACTTATATATACTTATTTTCATGACCTCCCTCGTATGGTGCAAAGCTTTAATATTTAAATTAAATTTATATTGCAGTTTAGATTATTTACCAACTTTTATTCAGAATAAAACCAACCTCAAAGTAACCTTAAAACCAAACAATATTATAATAGTCGAGTAGGTCATTTAAATACCTTTCAAACGAGGTATTATAAAATATATTACATTTCACATCGGGTCGGTGGTGTAGCAGTCTAACGCGCTTATATTCATTTATAGGCAAGTTTATGGTCCGAGACTGCCGGGCTTCGAATCCTAGACCAGACCATGTGGATTTTTAATTAAATTGTATGGTTCGGTATAGGATTTGATGTGTGCCGTATTAATATAAATTCAATTTCTATTGATATGATATGCAGATTATAAAATCGCCATGCATTACCGTCTCGATGATGGTGGGTGAGGTTTTCCGGGTTTTCCTCACCTGTAAGTCAAATCAATCATCTTTGAGTCGCCCCGGAGCGCCACGGCAAATAATAATAATAATAATAATAGCCGTCCCTTTCCCCGCACAAGCTCAGCTTTTGAGGTTAAAATTCACTCGTAAGGGGGTGAATTAGGGAGAGTATTATTATTATTATTATTATTATTATACATAAAAGGTACTTTATTGAATCCTTACCAGACAAATGTTAACATAATTATTGGAAGATATATTTTTATATACTGGTTATTATTCCAGTAATAATTAACATAGTAATAATTGTTGTTTCGTGATGAGGTTATTTGGATAAAACTAACTTAAATTACCAAAAGGACTTTTAATTAGCTTTAGTTCCAGGTATAAAAAGATTATCTACGGGGGTGGGATTTTAAAAATGCCAAGGGAAGACCAGTATAATATTATTAATCTTAGTTTAATAAATATACAATGTGACCACTCAAATTTCTGTTC